TATAAAGAGGCTTCTTAAAAAATTTTGTTTTGGGAATGATCCTAGCTAACACAGCCTGACTGATCAGCACATAGGACATTTCTCTGCCTCTGTGGCTTTATTATCCTCGGTGGACATTTCTCTTCATCTCATCTAAGTTACTGAGTTAGCTGGTTGGCCACCTGTAGGGGACTGAGGAATTGGGCTTAGTGTTTGCCACATTCTCTTTGTTAGGCGAGAAGCCTGGAAGTCATGCTCCAGTGTGCATGCCTGTGTGTGTGTGTTTGGGTGCACATTTATTATCTGCTTTTGAGATCATCATTGAAAATTGTGCTAAACTGACCTTTTTTCCCTTGAGTGAGAAATTTAGGGTCAGTGTTTCCATTTCCCCAATGAAACTTTTTACTGAAGTTAATTTAAAAGATTGTTTTGAAAGTGAGCCCCCACCAACCCCCCCAAAAAATCATTTTCTGAAGTTCAAGGTGAATGTGTGAGGTTTATGGATGCATTTGGAATTCACCGAGAGTATGCAAGTTCAAATTTTTGTACCAGTATAGAGTAGAAAATACAGAGTCAACCCTTGCCTTCCATATGAATATGGACTATTTTTAGACTTGTCTGTTTGCTTCTGGGTACCTGTCTCCCTAAAATGCTTAAGAGTTGTTATTTTAGTTGAAACCAGTGGCAAGAGGTGTGAGTCCACCTTTCTCCATTTTAAATTTTCTTTGGAACCAGTTGTGTTTTCAACCTGTTGAAACCCATTTGCAGTATGGTCTGGCACATTGCTGCCTTTGGTCACTGGGCGAGTGTTACAGGGCAGGGAGAGGGGCAGCCCAGACTCTGCAAACCTGCCTGTTCTAAATGGGTTCTGCCATCCGCCGCATGAACACAAAACATATGAGACTTTAATGGGAAGGAACTTTAATACAACTAGGAAACAATACAGGAAAAGCAAAGAATCTAGTTTCTAAATCAAGCACCCAAAGTTACCCGTCCCCTCGTGGGTAAAAGTCCATCCAAATGGGATTGGCCCAGAGCAAGGCCCCAAAGCCTGCCACAAGTCTAAAGCATCTTCCAGTGGGAACCCACAGAAAAGGGTCAGAAACAACCAGACAAGCCTGGAAGGAAAAGAGCAAAATGAAAATCAAGATAAAGGCTGTCATTGTCACCTCCCCACGGATCTCATTCACATCTGTGTCACCCAGTCCACAACCAAAAGGCAAGCGCAGTTTTTTCATGTGTCTCTAGGCTCCATGTGCCTCCTCCAGGTATCCTTCTGGCTCTCCATCCTGCTTCCTTCCTTCCTCAGTCTCCTCTGCAGCTTCTCTCCTTGTGCAGCTCCACCCTCCATTTGGGTGGGACAGGGAACTTGGAACCTCCCCCTTTTCTGAGGACCCCCCTGTCACACGAGGACTATGATTTCATGCTCTCAGGAAGCATTGTCTCTGGACTGTGTAAATATTAGGTTCTGCACAGGTGTGTACAGTGTTTTTCCCTCAGAGCTGTTGATGAATAAAGGCAAAACTCTCTTCTAATTCATGCTTGCTGCCTCCTACCCCCCAACAGTTATTAATATTACTTTATTTTTCTTCTATTCCTCACCTGGTACGGTACAATGGGAAAATTTCCAATTTTAAATAAGCAGTCCTTCTGTTAGAAAAAACTTTGGCACTGATCTAGTGCTCAGAAATGTGACCTGATTAATGGTTGAGTGTGCCCCCACATCTTTTGGGTTGTAGTTGTCTCACCTTTGCAAATAGGCAAGGTAGAAGCTCATGGTTCTTTTTACAAGAGTCATAGTCTAGGTGTGGTGGAAGTAGTTTAAGTTCTCAGTAAGGAAAGGAATTGTAAGAATTTTGGTGGTGGTTAGTCTCTTTGATTTAGAAAAGTCCTTGAAGAAGTTCAAATCTAGTGCAAGAAGCTTTGTGTCCCATACAGATTCTGGCTTGGGGGTTTTAGAGGCATGCTGTTCCAAAATTTAGACTCTTTATGTCTACCCATCCATCCACCCACCCACCCACCCACCTACCTGTTACCGACCTACCTACCTACTTACCTATCAGTCTATCTATCTGTTTACCTTCTTACCTTTCACAAAGGGCCTTGGAGCAAACTGTCATAAAAACTTGTTGTTTGAATTCATGCAACAAATTCTTTTGTTCTGATTCTTTTTTTTTTTTTTAAGATTTATTTATTTATTTATACGAGCACTGGGTATAGTCAGAATTGTGGGAGGGTGAGAGAATTCACCAGAGCCAGAGCGGGGAGGAGAACAGGCAGAGTGATGAAATACACTGCTGAGGGGAGCAGCGGGCGGCAGGAGAGGTCTGCGCGCCATGTGGGACCCTGGCCCGGCGGTCGGGGATCGAACCAGCGCTGCAGAGGCTGCAGGCAGCTTCGCAGCCCAGTGCTCAATTGCTGCACCACCAGGGGAGGCCCTTGTTCTGATTCTTAATGCTGCCTAATGACATTTAGTATCCTGTTTTCCCAAATTGGGGTCTACAGAAACCCTTAGGTCACAGAGAATATTTTCCCTTAAAAGGTGATTATTACAATCTGGAGTTTGAGAAACACTGCCTAAGCAACAATAGTAAACACCCTGGAATTCGAATCTTAGCCAACTGATGGTGTGAATTCTTGTCATTGACTTTTACCCATTTTAGAAACTAGGAAATTAACCATTAAGGTGACGAGTTTTGATTGTGATTTTTTAAATTATTTATATATATATATATTTTTTTTAAAGATTTATTTATTTATATATACAAGCACTGGGTACAGTCAGAAGTGCGGGAGGGTGAGAGAATTCACCAGAGCCAGAGTGGGGAGCAGAGCAGGCAGAAGGACCGAAGTACACTGCTGAGGGGAGCAGCGGGCGGCAGGAGAGGTCTGCGCGCCATGTGGGACCCTCCTTCGGTGGCTGGGGAGCAGCCGGGGATCGAACCGGCGCTGCAGAGGCCGTGGGCAGCTTCGCAACCCAGCGCTCAACCGCTGCGCCACCGGGGAGGCCCTGATTGTGATATTTTGAGCTTTTACTTCTTTTCGTTTAATTTTTCTAGGAGACTGATGAAAGGTTTTGTATCAGTAAATCTTAAACAGAAGTTTCAAGCTTGTTGTTTGCTTCCTGAACCAAATGAGAACTTGTCGCCTTGGTATTTTTATTCATTATGGGTTTAAGGGACATTGAAGGACTGAAAGAGAAAACTTTTATGTACTTGTATCCTTCCAGGAACTATGGATTTTCTTCCATATTACTTCAGGCCAGTGGTTAATAGTCAAATAACAACAAGCAGCTAACTGTGAGTGGATATTAGAGTAGAAAGTGAAGCAGCATCCAATGGAACTGTTCCTGAAAGCCTCACACATATCTTTTTGTTTAAGTCAGGGTGTATTTTTACTAAAACATATGCTATTATTCAGTTAATGTTTCTTGTAATACTCTGATGGTAAATCAGGTAAAAATTCAATTTTTTAATCTTATTTTCCTCATAATGCCATTTGTCTCCTTAATTTCTTAGACTCTTTGTATATAGAAATTTCAGTAGCATTCTTGTTTTATTAAATTGACTGATACCTTTCTGAGTTAAAGTATGCATTTATTATGTAGTTTTGCCCTACAATTACTAATTTGGAAGTGTGGGAGCAGTTTGAGATTTCTCCTGATACCTAAATACACCTCATTTTCTGTGTGGTTCACAATTTCAGTGACCTGTGCTTTGAGGAGACTAGATTACCACAGAACTAAGATTCCTGCAACTGGGTCTTTTGAAAGCCTGCCAAAAAACACCACCAAGGTATCAGGTGGAACACACACAATTAAGTAAAGTTAACTTGACAGATCTCCAGTAGACCTCAATCCTTAGCCAAGGTGAACTTTCAAGTATTTATGTATTGCAAACTATTTTGTCCTGGGTCTTCCTGCCTAATCATAGCCGTGATTTTGATCAGTTCACTCTTTTCACTTTACTCATACAGCAATTGTTTATGAAGAGTAAGTATATGTTCTTATTCTTGTGCTATGACTGTGTGTGCTGTCATTAGTCACCACTTCTTGGCTTGGAGCGAGGGGAGCAGTGGCAGTTTAATTTATTCAAACCTTTCCCTTGTATTCTTTTAATTCTGTGTTTTAGGAATTTCAAGGCAAGGTCTTTTTTTTTTTTTTTTTTTTTTTCCTCTTTTAAGTCTTGGAATGTTTATGAAGTGTTATGACCTTGGTAAGGAAAGTTTTCTATATCTAGTAGGAGAGCTTTCAAAGGAGAGTGTGAGTTATAGCTATGTATTTTCTTCCTGACATTTGTACTTTGGTGCATAGTGTCATGGAAATGTCTCTCCCTGGTCTAGGGTTGAGAAGACAGTATTTCAGTGCTGGCTTGGTGCAGTTACTAACTTAGTGAGTGTCATTCTTCTACTTTGTAAATGGGCATGAAAATGTACCTTTGCCATCTACCTCAGAACTGGTAAAGATCAAGTGAACCAAGATTTATGAAAGAACTTTGCAAGCTCTCCACTTCCCTTCAGTTGCAGGCATCATGTTCTGTGGTTATCAAGAAGCTTGTACCTATGATCCTTCATTTCTGTCTTAGCTTTCTGTGTCTTTGGGTAAACTGAGTCAGTCAGTTTTCTTGAACATAGACTAGGGATGAGAAAGGGAGGGTCAACTTACGGGCTCTCTAGAAATAATTCTGGTTTTAAAAATTTTATTATTTTATGTTTCTCTCTGTGTTGTAGTTTTGCTTTCTTTTCTTTTTCCAAATTTTCAAGCTTACAGGAAAAAGTAGTATAAAAAATACCTGCAGACCCTGCATCTATAGTCAACAGTTGTAAATATTTTGCCACATTTTACTGTCTCTATCGCTGTACATTTAAACTTCAAATTCTGCTTTCTTTTGTTTGTGTGCATTCAACAAATTCTCTTTTACAGAGTATGGCGAAGCTAATGATTATTCGGGTTGCTATATGCTAGGTTAAGTTGGAGCCATTGTATCCCTCTTACTAATCAATATGTATTTTTTTTAAAACAGGACGAACTCACGGCTGTGAACGTTAAGCAAGGCTTCAACAATCAGCCAGCATTTACTGGTGACGAACATGGCTCAGCCAGAAATATTGTAATTAACCCATCCAAGGTAATGCTAATTGTCTTGTTTCCGCAAACTTTCACAAAAGTGCATATATTTGACATCTTGGAGAGTTCAAGTTGACAAATTAGTGTTGTTTAAACCACAGTTGATGTTGCGAATTCACCCAAATATCCCCTGTGCTGTGCTGCTCCAGGATGTGGCCGCAGCACGTGCATCACTGTTGTCACATATCTGGTCCACCTGGTGCAGTCTTGGGCCTGCCTTCTTGCTTTGTTGTTGTTGTTGTTGTTTTAGTTAAAATCTAATTTATTGTAACATGAAGTATTCTTTTTTTTAAAATGAATTAGATTTGATTAAATATGGTTCATATTTGTTTGATGCTTACAGGCATCGGTCTTTTATTTGGATATTTTATTTTTATTTTTAATTTTATTTTTATATTTCCCATATAATTGCAACCTCCTTATTTTGACCCCAATCTCTCCTCTCCTCCCCCACCCCCCATAGTGTGTCTGGTTCATAGTTGTTCATTGATTTTGATTTTTTTCTTTCTTATAGTTATTCTTTTTCCTGGTCCCTTATTTAGGTTTTCTAGATTCCTGCTGTGAGTGAGACCATCCGGTATTTTTCTTTTTCTTTTTGACTTACTTTGTTGAGCATGATCCCTTCCAGCTCCATCCATGTTGTTCCAAATGGCATGTGTTTATCTTTTTTGAATGCTGAGTAATATTCCATTGTGTATATGTACCACATCTTCTGGATCCAGTCATCTGTTCTTGGGCATTTGGGTTGTTTCCAAAGCTTAGCTGCTATAAACATAGGGGTGCAGGTGCCCTTTGGAATTAATGTTTCTGTGTTCTCTGGGTAAATACCTAGGAGTGGAATTGCTGGATCATATGGAAGCTCTATCTTTAGTAGGTTGAGGAATCTCCACACAGCTTTCCATAGTGGTTGGACCAGTTTGCACTCCCACCAGCAGTGCAGGAGAGTTCCTTTTTCTCCACATCCTCGCCAACAATTGTTGTTGCTAGTTTTTTTTAATATGTGCCATTCCCACTGGTGTGAGATGGTATCTCATTGTAGTTTTGATTTGCATTTCCCTGATTGCAAGTGATGTTGAATATTTTTTCATATGCCTGTTGGCCATTTGTATTTCCTCTTTGGAGAAGTTTCTTTTTTGCTTTTCTGCCCATTTTTGGCTGGATTATTTTCTTTGTTTTTGTTGAGTCTCATCAGCTCTTTGTAGATTTTTGTGAACAGTCCTTTATCATTAGTGTTGTGTGCAAAAATTTTCTCCCAGTCGGTGCGGTTTCTCTTGTTTTGGATATTGCCTCTTTTGCTGTACAGAAGCTCTTTAATTTGATGTAGTCCCAGCTGTTTTATCTTTGCCTTCACTATCACTGCTTTGGGTGATGTGTCTGTAAAGATGTCTTTAAGGTGCATGTCATGTAGTGTTTTTTTCTTCTATGTATTTTATGGTTTCAGGTCTTATGTCTAGTTCTCTAATACATTTTGAGTTGGTTTTTGTGCATGGTGTGAGGTAGTAGTCAAGTTTCATTCTTTTGCCATGTAGTGACCCAGTTTTCCCAGCACCATTTATTGAACAAACTTTCTTTGCTCCGGTGCAGATTCTTTGCTCCTTTGTCAAAGATTAGCTGACCATAAATCTGTGGGTTTATTTCTGGGTTTTCTATTTGGTTCCATTGGTCCATGTGTCTGTTCTGGTTCCAGTACCATGCAGTTTTGATGATTATGGCTTTGTAGTATAATTTGAAATCTGGGAGAGTGATGCCTCCATTCCCTTCTTTTTTTTTCAGGAGGGTTTTGGCTATTAGGAGTTTTTGGTGGCTCCATATGAATTTCATCAATATTTTTTCTATTTCTTCAAAGCATGACATTGAAATTTTAATTGGAATAGCATTGAATCTGTAGATTGCTTTTGGTAGGATGGCCATTTTGATAATGTTAATTCTTCCGATCCATGAGCAGGGGATGTCTTTCCATTTCTTTGTGTCTACTTCTGTTTCTTTTAACAGTGTTTCATATTTTTCTTTGTATAGGTCCTTTACTTCTTTTGTTAGATTTATTCCCAAGTATTTGATTTTTTTTGTTTCAAAAATCAAAGTGGTTTTCTTGATTTCTTCTTCAGATTTATGTTTGTGTATAGGAAGGCTACTGATTTTTGCATGTTGATTTTGTATCCTGCCACTTTACTAAACTGATTGCTTAGTTTAATTACCTTTTCTGTGGAGTTTTTGGGGTTCTCTATGTATATTATCATATTGTCCACAAATAGTGATAGTTTGACTTCTTCCTTGCCTATTTGGATTCCTTGTATGTCTTTCTCTTGTCTTATTCCTCTGGCTAGGACTTCAAATAGTATGTTGAAAAGCAGTGGTGAGAGTGGACATCTTTGCCTTGTTTCAGATCTTAATGGGAATGCTTTCAGCTTTTCACCATTGAGAATGATATTGGCTGTGGGCTTGTCATATATGGCCTTTATGATGTTGAGGTATGTCCTTGTATCCCAAGAATTTCAAGGCCTTTATCATAAATGGGTGTTGTACTTTGTCGAATGCTTTCTCAGCATCTATGGATATTATTATATGGTTTTTATTTTTCTTTTTGTTGATGTGTTGGATTGCATTGATTGATTTTCGGATGTTGAACCATCCTTGTGTCCCTGGAATAAATCCTACTTGGTCGTGGTGAATTATCTTATGGATGCATTGCTGGATTCTTTTGGCATGGATTTTCTTGAGGATTTTTGCATCAGTGTTCATTAGGGAGATTGGCCTGAAATTTTCTTTTTTTGTGCTGTCTTTGTTGGGTTTTGCTATTAGTGTAATGTTGGCTTCGTAGAATGTATTTGTTAGTATTCCTTCTTTATCAATGTTTTGAAAGAGTTTGTGTAGGATAGGCACTAATTTACTGTTGAACGTTTGTTTGAATTCATTTCTGAAGCCGTCTGGGCCTGGGCTTTTGTTTTTGGGGAGTGCATTATTCCTGCTTCAGTTTCACTGCTTGTAATTGGTCTGTTTAGTTCTATTTCTTCTTTGTCCAGCTTTGAATGATTATATCATTGGAGGAATTTGTCCATCTCTTCTAGGTTGTTGAATTTGTTTGCATATAAGTGTTCATAGTAATCTCTGATTATTCTTTTGATTACTATTGAGTCTGTTGTGATTTCTCCTCTTTCATATGCGCTTTCTCCCATTTTTTATTTTGAGCCTGGCTAGAGGTTTGTCTATTTTGTTTATTTTTCAAAGAACCAACTTTTGGTTTCATAGATATTTTGGATTTTTTTTTAAATTTCTAATTCATTTGTTTCTGCTTTGATTTTTTATTATTTCCTTTCTTCTACTGGCTTTAGGGTTTTTTGTTCTTTTTCTAGTTCTTTGAGATGTGAGATTAGGTTGTTTCTTTGAGTTCTTTCTTGTTTGTTTATGTGAGCCTGTATTGCTGTATATTTTCCTCTTATTACTGCTTTTGCTGCATCCCATTCATTCTGGAAAGTGGTGTTCTCCTTGTCATTCAACTCAAAGTATTTTGTAATTTCTTCTTTGATCTCCTCATTAGTCCAGTGGTCTTCCAGTAGTGTGGATTTCAATCTCCATGAAGTGGGAGGGTTCCTTGTTTTCTTTTCATGATTTATTTCTAGCTTGATGCCTTTATGATCAGATAAGATAATTGGAATGATTTTGATTTTCATGTATCTGTTGATGTTTGTCTTGTGGCCCAGTATGTGATTGATTCTAGAGAATGATCATGTGCACTTGAGAAAAATGTGTACTCGGATTTTTTGGGTGCAGTGTCCTATAGATATCTGTGTTGCTGTGCTCTCTCTCTTACAGTTCCCTCCCTCTCTATTTACTCAGTTCCAACAGGGAATCAGCTAGTTGGTGGTTTAGTTCTGGTCATGAATTGGCGCCAGAGACCTGTACTTGCTACCTGTGCTTTTTCCCAGTGTTCTCTGAGTAGTGGAAGGGGTGCGGACGGGAGCACCTCAACACAGGGACTCTTATTCAAGCCAGGTGCTTTGTCTGCCCCGTTTTCACCAGGTGTTGTGCCTGCAGCTGTATGAATCCCAGGCCTTGAATTCTTCACTCTAGGTCTCAGTTCTAGGGCTATCAGATCCAAAACGTTGGCTGTCACTCTGTGCAGTGCCCGCTGCTATGGCGCGTTCCACGCCCGGGATCCTGTGCTTGGCTCTCAGTTCCAGCATGGGGTCTTGCTCCCGCTTTATTTTCCTCCTTACCCCTGTTTGCATGGCCCACCCTCTTTCAGCACCTGAGGGTGTTTTTGGGATCCTGGTTTCCAAGTATAGGGTGTTGGTGATATTTTTCTGGTCGCTAGGTGGCGCCAGAGATCTTTCCTAGTGTCCTTCGGGAACTGTTTTTTTACCCTGTGGGTCGGGGAAACAGAGTGAGAGTGTCGTCGAGCGCCTCAATGGCGTGGGGATGCTGTGTCTTCTCTGTGCCCCACCGTCATGGGGATCCCACTCCCTGAATTTCGTGTCCCGGGTCTCAGTTCCAAAGCCCTCAGGTCCAGGACGCGGGCTGTATACCAGTTCAGTATCTGCAGAAATGGTGCCTTTTGTGCGCAGCTCCCGTGTCTGGGCGCCTGGTTTCTGGTTATTCAGTGAGGGACATTCACCTCAATGAGGGCTCCCGTGTGTCTCCCCGCAAGCCTAGGTTGCAGGCACCGGGACCTGGGCAGCCGAGATCCTCATATGCTTTATAAGTGCGCTGCTTTTCTGCACAAGCTTACCTGCTGGCCTTGGGCTATTTGTAGGTCTCCTGGGAGTCTTTGTTTTTCTCTCACAGACTTTTTTGAAATTGTGCATCATCATTCACAATGGTCAGGGAATCCCAATTCATGTAAAAAGAAAAAACAAAAAGTTGTATCAGCTTTTCACCTTGGTTGATAAATGTGGCTAGTTACTTATAACTGAACTCTAATGTATAGGCCACTTATTTTTGATCCATGAACATTAACTAAGGTAGTGATAGTTATTCTGCCTCACCAAGGTAGGCATAGGTTGCCACTCTATTTACCGTATTGAAGGTGTTTATTAGAAATGGTTGCTTGCATCATATTAAAGAATTCTAGGGATTGAAATGTGAGACTTCGATAGGATATTTGAAAATTCAAATATGAATTCACTGAAAGATATTACCTTATCTCTGTCCCTTTCATTCTTGTCCCCTTCTCCTTCCTTTGTTCTCTTTTAAATTGATTCAAACAGAAATGATGCCATAATTTACAGATTCTCTTTCACTACTTTGCACCATCCGCAGCACCAGCTTTCTCTTGAAACACTTGTACTCATGAAATTGGGAGTCCAGTCCAAAAACGTTGAATACTTAATTGAACCTTTTGTAATTTGTCACTTAATAAATTAAATTTCTCTAGACTTTCAAACAAAGAACCAATTGTAAATAACAGGAGTTTCCTTTCTAAAATAATATGGTGTTAATATGAGCCAAGAAAATAAATGATTCATGTATAATTGCTAGGTTTTCTGTTCTTGTATGCAGCACCTCTTAGGAAAAATAATCACTTTGAATAGGTATGTAGTCTGACAAGGAGAAAGTATAACTGAAGATTCAGGCAGAATCCATTCTCTTGTAACTTATTGAGGATGTAATTAATTTCATATTCCCAGAGATTCTCAAAGGCTCTTCTTTTTCCCTTCAGGTACTTGTAAAGAGTGGAACAGAGTGCACTAGTTTAGTTTAAGGAACTCACAATGCTTGTGACTTATTGTCATGTTATTTTCCGATGGGCTGTTTGAAGATTTTTTAATTAAAACAGTAAAAATAAAACACTAATACATTACTAAAATATTTGGTCATTGTTTTCTATGTTTTTTCCCTCCTGTTTCTGCAGATTGGAGCTTATTTCAGCAGCATATTAGCTGAGAAATTAAAGCTTAATACTTTCCAGGACACCGGAAAGAAGAAACCACAAGTTAATGCTAAAGATAATTATTGGCTGGTCACTGCTCGATCCCAGAGTGCAATTCATAGTTGGTTCTCTGACTTAGCAGGAAATAAGCCACTTGCTATTTTGGCAAAAAAGGTATTAAGTATTTTTTCTGTCATTTTAATTCTGCTTTTAAAGAAATGAACATATTTGAGATAACTTGCAGATATATTTCTTTTCCCCAATTCTCTCCAAAACTCTAAACCTAAATGACAGGTGTGCTGTGCATTTGCTGTTTCCCCCTTTTTTTTTGATGTTGTGTGGTGACTAGGACAATGAGAAATCTAAACAAGAACCAGTTTATGTGAGCAGTAGGTAGGCAGTAAATCTTCATTTATTTCTATTACATTTTCAGTTTTCTTAGGCAAGGATGTCCAATGTGTTATAAAAGTTCTCACTTTGATGTTATGTCCTTGTCTTTAAAAGTAATTATCCAGACGCTTTAAGCTTAATCTCTCCTAATAAACAAGATAAAGATAGTGATTCTGTGTGTGCTTGAAACATTTCACTGAAAAAGTGTTAGAGCAAAATGGACATGTTTGTCCATAGCTCCCAGTTTTTTTGTGGGGAGGAGTTGAGTGGGTGGGTTCTTTTAAAAAATCTTTGTCTTTAATTACTTCCTCAGTGGGAAGTAATCATGGTTTCAGTAGTCTTATAATTCAAATAATACAGATGTCTTTGAAATTTAGATGAGAGCTAGAAATCTCCCTTGAAGTCTTGATCTCTAACTTCTTGCTATACCTTGTAAATAATTCTACTGGTCTTTGCTCGTCTCCTGAAACATTTTAGTTTTAGAACTATCCATCTTCTGTTGCTGATAGTAGTAGGTTTTCATTAGCCACTTGGTGCAGGCCCTGTTTAAAGGAGAGGTCCTTTGTGCTTGTTGTTTTTCTAAATCAACTCTGTGAAAATAATGCCTTTTTGTAGCTCCCATTGGCTTTATGTTATCCCGGTGTCATAGTATTGTGTTGCCTTTCATAGGTTTCAGTAGTTAAAGGCAATTGAGATCTTTGAAAAGCACAGTAGTCCCTATAACCACCCCTAGACACTCAGTAAGTGTTTCTGTCTCAATAGACTGAACTGTGAAGCTTATCTTTTCTGTGGTGAACATTTACTTTGTGGGCCCAATATGGCGTATGAATTGCTTCTTTTTTTTTTTTTCCTATGAATTGCTTCTTAATGTATAAAACTGAATGAGCATCCTTTGATATTTGGTGGATTTCTACCAATAGTTACTACCATCCATATTGGTTATTACCTTCACTGCAGTGTAGCTAGCTGGACTTCATTCTTTTTCAGGTTTTCCTTTTTTAATAAGCTTTTAGAATGGTTTTTGGGATATTTTCTGAAAGTGAATTGATGTCTTTGCTTTAAGGGTATAGGACATAATGTACAGAAACTTGAGTCAGTGTAAACGTCTTTTAGGTGCGAGCTGAATTATGGTGTGGTATATTAGCCATTGTTCTTCTCTCTTTACTAGGAGCTGCCTCTGGCCAAGTCAGGTGTTCCTCAGGTAAGCCCTGATGATCATTCTTTGCAGAGTTAAAGATGTTTTCTTTATAAAACTTTAGAATTGAACTATGGACTAGTCATTTCTTGGACATTTCAACAGTCTCTTCCCTCGCAGCACATCCTCAGCATATTATTGACTTGAGATGGCAAAAATTCTTTTAGAGTTGGGCAAAAGATTGCATTCTATACATGTTATTCATACTAGACAATTCAACTATTTCTTCCTCAATTTTTGGTATTCATCTGTGAGGTGACTTAATGCAGAAAAATTTATTCTAGCTAAGATCCTGAGTCATCATCCAGCTCTGATTGAAAGTTGAAAATAGTTTTCTGTATGGGTGGATCAGGTTTCTGGACCTGGTTTTCAGTTACTATAAAGCTCCAAGGACTCCCAAGTATTTAGCTACAGGGGAGATCAGCACTGTCTGTTAGGAACTTTCAACTCAATCACAATTGTAGCTGGATTTGGAAAAATACAGTACAGGCCTTGTGGATTACCCTTCTAGTTCTTGAGAACTTCACTAGGGACTACATGTTCACATCAGGTGACTTTGATTAATATGACCTATGATATTTCTTTTTTCTATACCTCTGCTTAGCAAACAGAATGCTGATGATAGTGCGCATCCAATGAGAAAGATGATACCCTTTTATGGATGGAAAACTCATCACGTGCTAGGTGTCTCAGTTTTCTTTTGGGACTTTGATATAGTTCTGGCTTGATTCAGAAACCATATGGCTGCCTCGTGATTACCTAGGTTTAGCTTCAAGTTTGAGTCAGATGGTTTCTTTAATGAAAATGAAGTCCATCACTGGACGGATGTCATACTTGAATCAGTGTAAACATTTTTTCCTTCTTGAGTTAGCCTATAAATTTGACAAGACCATCAACATATGTCTTCTTCATTAGTTTAATAACCTTCACGTATGTTCTTCTGATTTCTAAACCCCTTGATTTGAGTCAGTCATTTCTCTTAGGATTTTGCCAGTAGGGTCAATGAGGTGTACCTTGTGTTGTTAATGTAAGACCTGTGGCTCAGTTTTGTTTGCCATCACTTGCTAGGTGACATTTCATCTAGACATTTCACATTTTCAAAGTGATATTTTTTCTCCTGTCAATTGCTATTCAGAAGAAATTCTTTAGACATCTGTGGAAGATACTACTAGTAATGTGTGTTTGTTTTTTTTTTTTTTTTTTTTTGAGACAATAACTTTATGTTTTTGCATTTGCCTCTCTTTTGGCGCTTGGTTTTCTAATCTTTTGGTATGTCTGACTGAGAGGTGCAACCTGACCTTGACAGCCCAAATTTAGCCCGTTGGTACCATACTTAATGTTCTAGTGAAAAGCAGCAAGCCAGTTCTTGAACTGAACATTTGTGCTTTTCTCATCCCCAACTTAAGTCTGTAAGCCCCTGGAGCCTTGTGCTCCATTAAAGATGTGCCTTGTAAGCTAAATTTTCAGGGTATTTTCTTGTTAAATATGTAACACTGTGGACAGAGGAAGCCTTACAAGTTTGGTCCATGTGACTTTTATCTCCCTTTTAGCTATGGTTGTGCTGTGTAGTTGCCTGTGTTGTGGGGGTTATGTCCTATATTCAGAAATTAAGGGAGGACCTGTACATGATCAAAAGATTTATTTTTACTTGCCAGTAAAATGTAGTATATGTACACACTGCATCTAATTGTCCTACCAGACAGCTTCTACTTCAACATGGGAGCAACTTGGTGTTTCCTTGGTAAGGAAAGGTGAAATAGCTTGTTTGAAAGGGCCATGTATCTCTGTTCTTTGTGCCAAGTATGTGAATAATCATTAGTAAATATGATGCAAAAATTCACTAAATGAGGATTTGTCTAAATGAAAGAAAAATGCCATCTGTGCTGGGTGAGAAATAAGGACAAGCAGAAGCCTCAAGACTTCCTGAGAGATTCTTCTAGTTTCCACCCAGACCAGTGAAGAACCTGACCAGTGAGAGTGAGGAACAGCCATGTCTGTAGGTCGCTCCCCACCTACATCAGCTGGGTCCCAAAGCAAATAACAGCAAGAAGGAAAAAACCCAGCAAACAGCAACATGGGTCTTTAAGAGAATAGTACAACATACAGAGAGAACAAATCTCTAGAACTCAATATCAAAAACATGGAAAACATTTTTCCTGTCAGATACAGAGTTTAAAATTACAGTGATAAGGAAATTCAAAGAAATGGAAGAAAATTCATAATAGCAAATGTCCTTAGAAATAAAATCAGTGAACTAAAGACAGAAAATTCAGCTGTATGTAAAATGAAAATGGAGTTTCAGGATTTAAAAAGTGAAATATAGGAGATAAAAAATTCAGGAGAAAGTTACAGAAGTAGAATTGATCAAATGGAAAAATGAGTGAGTGTACTTGAAAATGCAAACGTATGAAGAACCCAGGTAGAGAAGGAAAGAGAAATGAAGTAAAAAACTGAAGAATCACTCCAAGAATTACTCAGTTCCTTGAGGAAAGGCAATATAAGGATAATGGAAAAACCCAGATGGGGAAGAGAGAGAAAGAACAGAAAATGTATTTAAATAGATAATGGAGGAAAACTTACCAAACCTCGTGGAGGGACTAATCCAGGAAGCTAAAAGAACCCTGGCATACCTAGACAAAAGGAGATCTATATAAAGACATACAGCCATGAAACTTCTAAGGGTTCAGGACAGAGAAAGAGTTTTGAAACTGGCAAGGGAAAAGAAGCAGAAAATAAAGGTACCAATCAGGCTAATATCAGACTTCTCCGAAGAAACTCTATGGACAGAGAGCAAGTGGAATGAGGTATTTCAGACACTTAAAAACTGCCAGCCAATACTCTATTTTGAAAGACTTTACTTCAGATATGACAGAAATAAAGGCCTTTTCAAACATAGAGAAACGCAAGGATTTGACAAACACTAAGCCACCCCTCCAAGACATATTGAAAGGAGCTTATACATCTAAACCAAAGATAGAAACATACACAAAGAACTGAATAAGAAAATAAGTTCATCCACAAAAATTAAGTATAAAATGACAGCAACAGACTATCACATATCAATAATTACTCTAAATGGAAATGTACTGAACTCGCCTAATTCAAAGACACAATCTGGTTGGATCTAGAAACAGAATCCGACTTTCTGTAGTCTCCAGAAGACACACCTAACCCCCCAAAACAAAGAGGCCCAAAGTAATGGTTGGAAAACAATCTTTCAAACAAAATCAAAAAGAAGGCTGATTCAGCCATAACTAAAAAAAGAAAAGATTTCCAATTGAAAAGTTAATGAGATAGGTATGGACGTTATGTAATGATTAAAGGAACAATACATCAGGAAGACATAATAGTAATCAGTGTATACTCACCAAGTGAAGGAGCACATAAATATATTAGGCGGGCCTCCCCTGGTGGCACACCAGTTGAGCGCTGGGCTGTGAAGCTGCCCACAGCCTTTGCAGCGCCAGTTTGATCCCTGGCCGCCTGCGAGGGTCCCACGTGGCACAACAGACCTCCCCTGCTGCGCCTGCTGCTCCCCTCAGCAGTGTATTTCATCAGTCTGCCTGTTCTGTTCCCCACTCTGGCTCTG